CGTGCAACGGGCCCTCCCCAAGCCTCAAAAGAGAACGGAACTGCTGGAGCTGGTGTCCTTGCTCTGCCAAGCCTCGCTCCCAAACAACAATCCACCGAGAGCCTCTTCTCCCGTTCGAACCCGCCGCCCGAATAAGACGCTGGCAACGATCCTCGCTCCGCAAGGTCGCGCAGGGCCTCAAGACCTGATCCACAACTTCGACCGAGTCATGGCGATCGGGCAACATTGGGGCCGCACCATCAAGATCACTTTGGGCCGCTACGGCATGACCGAACTGCAGATGATGTCGACCAACGAAAAGGTACGTTCAAGCTGTCCTGCCAGCCCCAAGTTCTTCGCAACCCACGCAAAGTTCACCCAATGTCTGGACTCTGCCACCCGTGCTGTAACACTGGCAGACGAAACAGATGCACGTGAACGAGCCGTCCGCGCAGTCTACTAGGTCACACGCGTGCCCATGTTCTTCGAGAAGAGCAGGGGAGCGCAGAGGCAGGACAGAGCACTTCATGGGGGCAGGACGGTCAATCCCAAGGGAACCCCTCAAACACTCTTGGCACTGCCAACCGTCAACTTGCCAGCACCAATCGTGGACCAGAGAGTCCTGATCAATCAAGGGGTTGGATTGCTTCTAGTGCGAAGCATCAGTAATGTCCAGCCGCGGTCACAGGGAAAACGCCTCGTAGCCACCACGGCAACCGAACTGGCAATCTTGACACCACGGCCCTTCTTCTCTGAGGTGGCGGGGCCGGGCGCGGGGTGACCAGTGGCCCCATTTTCCGCCGCAGCGTCAGCGTAGTGGCTCTCCTTTTGCGAGGAGAGGCCACATGATACGAGATCCCCTCTTCTCTTTCCAGGATCGGTGGGCCGCAGCGTGCAGGTCCTCTCGGAGAAAGAGGTCCGCCCCAGATGAAGTTTCGAGAGCCATGCTAGCATCACGCACATGTCCCCCGAGAGATGGTCCAAACTGGGCTTCCCTGCAAAGAGTCCAGGATCGGTTTCCCCGAGGGGATGGTCCAGCCAGGTCCATGACGACTGAGGAACAATCCGAGTAGAGAGTGACCTGCCCGTCGATATTGATCACCGCGGCCGCCAGACTCGCAAACTGTCCACTCTGAGAGGTCCGAATACGGTGAGCCTAAACGGGGCCTTAGACACCCCGAAGAAGGTGCCCGGACTCAGATACAAACACAAAGGCCCAACCAAGCCCTGGAGAGCTCCTTGATGACCGAACAATCACAGCTACCATCCAGAATAATACTACATTTGAATCAGATTCGCTCAACCCGAACTAATTCCAGACCAACTCCCTCGAATGCCTCCCGGAAGAACTCCACTTCCACCCCCAACATGCCGTTCTGCGCCATAAGAGGAGGAACCTCGTCATAGCTCCAGTTAGGAATTTGATGTGGCCTTCTCAGCCTACTTCACAGGCCTCGAACGCTTGCTGGATGATCTCCGTGTCCACCAGCTCCGCGCGCTCCCTGTGGGCGCTAGGGCATCCCCAGAGCCTGTGGAACAAAAACTGTCCACCTTAGTCACCTGCGCGGGCTGGAGTTGGCATATATTACGTTGCGCACCAGCACCTTAAAACATCCCTTCTCCCAAAGGGTGGGCTTGGGCGATCTCGGCGCCCTCGACATCACATGGAACACACAACCTCCTGGAACCAGTCAGCTACGGGGAGGATCCCCATCCGGTGCGGCAAGAGAGACGGAGCGAGAAAGGAAGGAGAAGGGGCGGCGAAGAGAGTCGGCTACACGCAAGAGATCCTACGCAAGAGCGACCTTTGGTGCGCGGCTTAACGGGGGACGCGGGGTGACCAAGCCTGGGCGCGCAAGCCGCTGCACTTCGAGTGCAGCGATCGGTGGATCCCATCCAGGGGTTGCTGAAGGTGCCCCCTGGCCCAGGGTGCCCCCAGCTTTTCGTTCCCTTTTGAAGCCCCCGGGCTCCCCCTGGACCTCGCGAGGGGTGCTCTGGAGGCCGCGGGTGCCTCCATGGGAAGCCCTGGGGGGGCACCTTGGGCCAGAGGCACTGCTGGCAAGACCCGACCCGTTGGGCCCGCACCACGGGTCACCCTCGTCGAGGGAGGCAGGGAGCGGGAGGGGAGGCGGCCGTCTGACCCCCCAGGTCGGGCGGCGACCAGCAGGGACGGGGGCCTTGGCGCCAGCGCGCGCTCGACCATCGTCACGGCCTCGGGACCCTCGCGGCGGGTGCGCGCGCGGGGCAGTAATGGGGAATGGAGGAGCGGCGGGGATGGAGGGGGCGGGGCGGGGAGGGGGCGGGGACAATCTAGGTGCGCTCGCGCTGTATCTGACGTCCTACCCCTCCCTCCCATCCCTTACCTTGGCGTAGATGTCCTCTCTATTCGCACAGTCGGATGTCGTAGCATGGCATAGCATGGCATGGCATAGCATGGTGCTGAAGATCAACGCGTAGCATGACGACGCCCCAAAGTGGGTGGGGGGGCTTCTGCGGCCCCAAAAACAACGAATCGATACCGAATGTGTAATCACTTCTGGTGCTTTGCGTTTTTTTTTTTTTTTTTTTTTTGATTTGGGGACCTATCTGGAAAGACCGAACACCATGTCGTGGCATGGCGCTGGAAATAATGACGCCAACGCTGCAGCGGGAGCACGATTCGGAACGAGCGGAAGCGCAGAAATGAGGACAGCGCTTCAGCGGGAGCACGATTCGGAGGACGCGTAGCCTGACATAGCATGGCGTGGCGACGCCCCAAAGTAGGTGGGGGGCTTCTGCGACCCCAAAAATCAAAGAATCGACACCGAACGTGGAATCACTTCCGATGGTTTCTTCGGGGAGCATTCATATATATATATATATATATATATATATATATATGGGCCTATTTGGAAGGACCGGAAACCATGCCATGGCATGGCACTGGAAATAATGACGCCAGCGCTGCAGCGGGAACACGATTCGGAAAAAGCGGAAGCGCGGAAATGAGGCCAACGCTGCAGCGGGAGCACGATTCGGAACGAGCGGTGGCTCGAAAATGAAGCCAGCGCATCAGCGAGAGCAGCATTTTGACACAACAACCACGCGAAAACACGTTTCCCGGGAATCCTGTGTTAAAAACAGTGTGCGGAGGGGGGCCGAATATTTTCTGGACGTCGCCAGGGGAGAGATGAGAGTAGTATTCAGTTTGTGTAACTGTGGAGGGGGCGGAGGAAGGGGGTAGGAAGAGAGCAGGGGGCGGAGGGGGGGCGGAGGAGAAGGAGGGGGGGAGGGACGTAGAGGTGGGAGGGAGACTGGTGGTGGAGGAAGGGGGGCGCAAGGAGGGGGGGACTGCGGGGGGGAGGGGGGAGGCAGGGGAGGGGTGAAGCGTGAGATAGGCTGAACAGTAAGGAAAGGGTGGAGGGTGAGAAGAAGGAGACGGGGAGAGGGGGGAAGGAGAGGGGGAGGAGGCACATAGTACATAGTAGGGGTAGGATCGGGAAGCGGGAGGAGGGTGGAGGGGGAGAAGAGGGAGGAGACATCGGAAGGGAAGAGCGAACAAAAAGTACTGCACCATGTCGTATTTTTTTCCCGTGGCACCAAAGCATGTCGGCCCACCCTTCCCCGAGGACGATTTTGTCACTCCAGGGGCCCGATAATGGGTCCCCAGAGGTAGCTTGAAGCTTCGGGGGGACGTCAGCTGTCCACACCTCGCCGATCCAGGCTGGACCGATCCTGGTCTCAAGGTCGGCGGCACGGCCACTGCAAGACGTCCAGACCCCTTGTGCAAGGGCAGGTTGTCATCCGAAGTGGTCTTGTTGACGGCCCCGCGGCCCAGCGAGCGAGGAGGCCGAGAACGATGAACAACCTCCATCTTGTACGTGCCAACACAACTCGGGCATGGACAGAACCCCCGTTAGTAAAACGTGGTGTAGTGAAAACGACCTCGGGCCAAAATCTGGTGGGGGCAAGCCTGGAAAATGACGACCGCGAACCAAAAACGGGCAATTCACTAATCGACGTGTCCGCGTGGGGGTTCTGTCCACCCCCGAGCAATGCCGGTGGTCTTCGCGCCCACATCGGCCTGCGGCGGGAGCGTCCGAGCATCCTAACACTCTCGGCGAGGCGCAGCTGGAGACCCTTTGGGAAACCAACGAACACGTCAAGGAAGGTCAGAAAACGTCCGCCCCGATGATCCAAAGACGTTGGATAGGTTGACATATTTGGTTTTGATGGTGGCAGAAGCCCGTTTTTGTATCATTCGCGGTAACGCCGGTGACTGGCACCACCGCCCCCCTTCCCCCCTGATCATGTCACGATTCGCGCCGACCACGTCTGGAAAACAACTATTCTTAAGCATTCCCAGACGGCGCCGGTACAGATTGTGACCTGTAATCGTAACGCGCCTGGCTCCTGCCCCCCCTCACCCCCCAGTGGACGTCACGCCCGTCATCGCCAGGGGGAAAAACTGTATCTGGTGGACGCCTGAGTTGTCCGTGATAACTGCGGTCTGGAGTAACTCTGGTTTGGGCCCCCGAGGCGCGCATCTGTAGTTACCCCTGACCGCCCCCAGCCCTGACGATTCGGGAGATTGGACGCCAGATTTTTCAGGATAACTGCGGTCTGGGGTGACTCCGGTTTGGGCACCCGGGGCGCGAATATGTAGTTACTTACCCCTAACCGCCCCCAGCCCAAATGATTCGGGAGGGTTGGACGCCCGAATTTTCCGGGATTACTGCGGTCTGGGGCGACTCTGGTTTGGGCCCCCGAGGCGCGAATCTGTAGCCAACCCTGACCACCCCCAGCCCTGATGGTGTGGGCTCCGACCTTGCCATCTGAAATTAATCGCTCCTCTCTCTCTCTCTCTCCCACGTTCTCAGGCTCGGGTAACGCATCAACTGGTGGCATATCATGATATCTACTCGGCGAGCGTGGCTCCCTGGGGAGTAGGCTCAATCGGATCGACCGCCCCACCTGAACCTTGGGGCCGGGGTTCGCTAGAGGGGGGAGGAGGGAGAGGGACGAGGAGCAGCATGCGGGGGGGGGGGAAGAGCAGCAGAGAGAAATATGAACATTCGGACACGTCAGTCGATGCTTTCGGCAGAACGAACGATAATCCTCTGCGCATGTATGTTCTCGGGCTCTTCTGCAAACGCACAAGTCATGCGCTCAAGCAATCCGCTCATGCTGCACGAGTATGAGAAAACAGACTCCCAATATTCAAAAGTGCGGGTGGTCGTTTCATTACTTGATGTGCCTCAGTCGAGCAGCCAATCTCGACCGAATCAGACGACCACTGGAATACCTGCCGCCGACGAGGTGCCCAAAAAGTACTTTTCCACCCAACCGTAGAGCTGTTCGTCGGTGAACTCAAGGTGGTCCCCTGGGGTGGATTCGAAAGCGATCTTTCCAGTGGCATCTGCAGTTTTGATTCCGAAGAGATCCTGCGCATAGAACTTTGTAGCCTTCATCTCTAAGGCCAGGCCGTAGCTGCCATCTTTGATGGCGCCCCACCATTCGCCCTCGTTCGGGTAGACCATTGAGTCCTCGAGGGCCTTTACCATGGCGAAGCGTGAGGTCTTCGCAAAGTTAGCAACGATGGTCTTATTGACAGTCGCAGGGTTCTCGTTATTCCATTGGGCGAGCTGGGAATTCGTCAGATATGCCTTGCTAGACACCCTCACGGGGTCCCTGTAATAATCCGCCTGGAAGAGGATGCCTTGTGCGATTTTCAAATAAGCCAGATCTCCAAGCACTTCGGCCAAGGCCTTGCAAATTAGCCCAAGCGGCTTGCCCTGTTCAAAACAGCTGGGGAAAGCCGCAACCCCCATGACAGTTCCATGGACAGAAATGAAAGCATTCACGGGCGGATCGTTGTACTTCTCGATGTACCCTCGGATGAGCGAATTCCCCTGAGAGAAGCCGATGGCATTGAAGCCCCCAGCCAAGTTGGAGTCAGCTCGGATCTTCGCTGCGAAGACATCCAATGACCTGTCCATGTTGAGAAGGAATCCGTTGATCGTGTCCGTAATAATGTTGTCCCCTGTGGGGACACATTTCGCGTAGGTGCTAGTCTTCTTCCCAATGCCGCGAGTAATGCTTGCCATTCCTGGCTCCCAGCAAGAATCGCCCATACCGTGGGCCACCACTGTGGGAAGAGCTCCCGCGGTAGAAAAAGCGGCAGCCCTGGGTTCAGAGATCACAGGAGCAACGGCACGCAGAGGACTCGCCTTGATTTCATCCAAGACGACCTGCGGAAAATCTCGAGCGAGCTCTGTCAGGTTATACAGATTCGGGAAATCGTTCGACAGACTGTGGGCCTTGCCCAAAAGTGGCAAAACCAATACCAGCAGGCTGCCCGAAATGATAGAAGCCATTAAAGAGACTTAAAAACGCCGGGGTCCAAGATAGGTTTGTCTGGCGTGGGATCTGGAATGTGTTGGCACTGCCGTCTTTGGACCACGACGGCTACAGAAGGAGCCAGAGGGGTTGGCTGGGGAGAAGATGACGATTACAGGAAGAGCAATCCGTAGCGCCGAGGGAGACTGACAAAGACCATGATGGGCAGCTGGGCGGGAGGCTGGAAAACCAGCAAGGAGAGGATGGGTGAGGAGTAGACATAGCAAGTAAGGGAGGAAGAGCTCAACACGAGTACGCAGCAAGATGGATCCGCATCCACAACGATCAGGAGCGGAGAGATGATGACCAGGAGGCGGAGGAAGGATAGGTCCCATCCTCTCCCGCCTCCCTTCAGTCGGTGGCGTCACCCTCACCCCCTGCCGCCTGAACCAGGACAGGGTCGCCTGACGAAAAATCCGCCACCGTGGCCATAATTACGCATTGAATGGACTGTCCTCAAGAAGGGGGAGGTCTCGAACTGCCATGTTGAGCTCTTTCACCGAAAATGGCCCCCGATACCGCCAGGAGGCCCCCGGAGACCCCTAAGGACCCCCCATTCGGACCCAAGAGACCTCCGCCCACAAGGAGGCCCAAGAGAAACCTTCAAGATGCCTCCAAAAGGCTTCCAGGGAGGCTTCTTGTTCAAGGGCAAGACATGGGGGTGGGATGGGCCCAAATAAAGTAGGTGCACTGCCCCCGTAACCTGCCAGACGTTAGGACTATTCGTGGTCCTACTGAAAGGTTCCCACTGTCCTGTGGCCCAGCCCGCCGGCCCCGCGGAAAAAGATCTCCCATCGGATGTCCTGCCCAAGATGGCTCCGAGAGGGTCTCCACGATGGCCCTGGTCGTCATCGAATCGGCTCAAGATGGTATCCAAGAGTGCTCGGGATGGCTCCAAGAGATCCCCAGATAGCCCCCATACATACCAAGATTGCCGCAGGATGCCCCGCGGACGCCTGAGGATAACTCCAGCGCCTGGCATGCAGGCAATGGGTCCTGTAGGAAACGGCCCCTGGACCCCTGGGCCTGCCTCGGGGACCAGATCCTCGTGATGAAACGTTTTGTGACAGCTCGGGGGCCCAGGGAGGGCCCCGAGGTCCCAGACAACGGCAAACTAATCTCAGGGCGCGTTTCTCTCAGACCCGCTTGCTTAATGGCGGAAATCGCGCGCCAGCGGGGGGAGCGCCGATCCCAAGAAATGCGCGCGGACCTCCGAAGGCTCATGCCGTACGTATGCCGCTTCTTGTGATTAGTGTTCGTGTTATTATGTTTCTGCTTCGTATTCGTCAACCTGTTTCTGCGCCGACCCTTTCCCCTATCGGTAGTGGCCGTGTGCATATGTCCCCCTGAACATCAGATGCCAATACGTGATTCCGGGAAGTCTCGACCCTGCGGCTTGTCGTCCCAAGTCGTTCTCAAATGGCCCCGGGGACTGGCGAGGAATGTTCTTTCTTCCCGACGCACCGAAGCATGAAAGCCGCAGCGAGGCACCGAATCAATGAGAGGAGGAGGAGGAGGAGGAGGAGGAGGAGGAGGAGGAGGAGGAGGAGGAGGAGGGAGGAGGGAGGAGGAGGAGGAGGAGGAGGAGGAGGAGGAGGAGGAGGGGGAGGAAGGGGGGAGGAAGGGGGAGGGGGAGGAGGCTCAAGGAGGCTCGAATCGCGCGCAGCCGTTGCCCTGCCGCCTCCCTCCTCAATCATCTGGGATGGACAGGACCCCCTTTAATAAAACGTGGTTCAGTAAAAACGACCTCGGGCCCAAACCTGGCGGGCGCAAGCCTGGAAAATGACGGCCGCGGCGCCCTTTCGAGAACCGAAAACGGACAATTCACTAATCGACGTGTCAGGGTGGGGGTTCTGTCCACCCGCGAACTTAACTCACCCTTCCTCCCCCGTCCCCTTCCTGTCCCTCACTCCAATGCCATGGCATGCCAGGTCGTGCCGCGGCGGCGGCGGAGGGAGGGCGCCGGGAAGATGCGCGCGCAGCTGGCGCAAGAGATCCTCGAGTCCCTCTTCAAGCACCCCCAAGAAGGAGAAGGAGAATCGGGAGCGGCCAAGAGGGAGGCGTCCAAGAGGGAGGAGCGCTAATCATGGCCGGCGGCATGAGCGCGGCCCAAGGGGAAATGAAATAAGAAGATGCGCCGTGAAATCTGGGGAGATATCATGGCCCACGACATGATATTCACTCCCCCGTAGTCATCACCCCCCTCTTTGTCGTCCCCCGGCGGCCGGAGAAGGCGAAGGAGCGCCGTCCGGCATGGACGTGCCCACGCGAGACGACAAACTGGATGCCACGGAGGGCGAGCCGCAGTGGCGGCCAGGCGCAGCGCGCGGGCGGCGCCGGAGGACGGCCGCAACGCGGGCCGGTGGGGGGGCAGACCCGGCTGGCGAGGCCGCCGGCACCCGAGGTGACGGCCGCTGCCGCCGACCCTGATTTTCCAGAGAGCTATTTCTCAGCACTGGAGGCCTAAAAACCTAAAAAGGTGAACGAAACATCCTAAAGCCAAGACGTAGGATGGCCTTGGGATAGGTTTTTAAGTCGGGTGCTATCTTTTAGCCCTCCTGGAAGGTCAGGCGAGGGCCAGGCTGCCGCCCTGGAGGAGTCTGCGGGGCCAACCTGTGCGAGCTCCGGAAGCGCCCCGCCGCCTGCCCGGCGCCTGGGAAGCGGCTCGGAGGATTGCAAAAAAACCCTCCTGAACGAAGGATTGCAAAAAAAAAACCCTGGATTGCAAACAAAACCCTGGTTTTTTTTGCAATCCTTCGTACGAGGGTTTTTTTTGCAATCCTCCTGGAGGCCTCCGTGGCCCGCGCTGCTGCACGCAGCAGAGAAGGCCGCGACGCGGGTCGAGGAGGCCGAGGCTGCCTTGGCGGGGGCGCGAAGCGCACAGGAGAGGCGCTCGAGCGGGAGCCGGAGGAGGGCCAGACCGAGCTCCAGCAGCTCCGGGCAGAACCCTGACCTTCCAGAGAGCTATTTTTTAGCACTGGAGACCTAAAAACCTAAAAAGCTGAGCGAAACAGCCTAAAACCAAGACGTAGAATAGCTTTGGGATAGGTTTTTAAGTCGGGTGCTATTTTTTAGCCCTCCTGGAAGGTCAGGAAAGCTGCCGCGGGAGGGGCCGCCGCCGTCGCCGAGGTAACCCGACCTGGCGCGCGCCACGCGGACCTCTCCATGGAGGAGCTGGAGTCCAAGGGCTTCGCGGTCCGCGCGGACGTCCCGGAACCCATCCTCGCGGCGATGACGGCTCGCTGGCTGCGGGCTGCTCGCCGCAGGAGTGGCTACGCCGTGCTGGTGGGGGAGGCCAGCCACCCCGGACCGACCCGCCTCACTGAAGCAGAACCCTAACCTTCCAGGAGGGCTAAAAAAAAACACCAGACTTAAAAGCTAATTCCAAAACTATTCTACGTTTTGACTTTCGGATGCTCCGTTTAGTTGTTTAGGTTTTTAGGCCTCCCAATGCTAAACACAAATCTCTGGAAGGTCAGGGTACCGAACCGTTGCGGGGGACCCATGCGCCGTGTGCGACGCGGCGGGAGCGGGCGGCTTGCTCCGCTAGTCACTGCGGCGGCTGCGACACCCTCCTCTTTGAGCGCTGCGCGCTGGACGCCACGCCGGCCCTGGCGGCCCCGCCGGAGGGCGCGGCCGCCGCGGCGGCGGCCCCGGCAGGCGCTGCGACCGCGGCCGCAGCTCTTGGCAGCCCGCCTGCGTTGCTGGCCCAGCTGGCGGGTGCACCGCCGGCTGGGAAGGGCTGGTCGGCCTCGACCTGCTCGAGGAGTTCGCAACGGACTGCCCTGCGCTGCGGGCCATCCCGCGGCACGCGCGGGCAGCGGCTGGACAGGCCACCTGGGAGCTCTGCAGAGCGATCCTCCATGCCCTGGCCGGGAGCGCAGAGGAGGTGCGCGCTCGGAAACCGCTGGCACTGCGGGGGCGCTTGATCTTTGCCGACCCGCTCCAGCTGGACGCGAGGGGCCCGCGGCGCAGGGCGGCGGAGACCCTGGACCGCGCGCGGCTGGTGCGCGAGCGCGGCTCTGCGCTGTTCTGCGGCGACTGGACGACATTTCTGCAGGCGGGCCAGGGCGCAGGTGCGCTGGCAGGCGGGCGGCGGGGGAGGCCACGCCGGGCGCTCCCTGGCGCCGAAATCCTTCGAGAAGGGATGGCGGAGGAGAGTTCCCGAGCTGCCGCCCTGCTGAGCAGCCCAGGACTCGCGCCGCTCACGCCCGACACGGCAGGAACTGCAAGCGTTGCTTCGGCCGCGCCTTGCCGCCGCGCTGCTCCCGGCGGCGCCGCCGCCGGCCGGGCCTCCGCCGCTTCCCCACAGGGCCTTGAAGCAAGCGCCGCAGGCAAGCCCCAAGGGCAGCGGCGTGGCGGCCGGCGGCCGGCGCTTCGAACACAGGCGGGTCGTGCTCGCCCAGGCCGCGGCCCTGGCCGCCTTCTACGACGTCTGCGACCGCGCGGCAGAGGGACGGGCCCCAGAAAACGCCACCGCGGCCCTGGCACTGGCGAAGCTCACGCCGCTGCGAAAACCAGGCGGCGGGGTCCGCCCCATCGCCGCGCCGAGGATGCTGTGGCGGCTGGTGGGCCGCGCGCTGGTGACCCCTCGGAAAGAAGCCTTGGCCGAGGCGCTTGGGGGACAGCAGGTTGCTGTGGGCACTGCTGCGGGCACCGAGTTGCTGGCTCATACCACGCGGGCTCAGGCGGAAACGAACCCCGACTTGGTGTCACCAAGAGCGCCTGATCCCATCAGCCCTTAGGGCGCGAGGTGGTTTAGGGAGCCTCCTCCTCCACCCATCGCTCTTCCCCTTCGGGGAGGGGTTTATCACTGTTCCCTATTAATAAACACCCCCTCCCCCAGGCGACTGGGGGCCAACCAGGGTCCATGCCGACCCCCCCCCACCATCTCTTCAAAAAACAATACATAACACACTCTGCCTCCAAATTCGGAACATGCGCAGCCAACCTGATGCGGCCCCCCCAACATCCCCGTCAAAAAACAATTCAGAGTAAGTACACTTGGCGGCGGCGGCGGCGGCTGCGGCGGCTGCGGCGGCGGTGGCGGCGGCTGCGGCGGCTGCGGCGG